TTTGATGGCTCTTGAGTCACATATCTAAATATTTCCCACCTTGACCCTAAACCACGTTACAACCTTTGAAAAATCCTTATGATTCTTATAAAGCGTGTGATCTAAATGGTGGCGAATGAGAAGATATGCAAGTATATGGTAGATCATCTTCATTGGAATGAACTTGAGCAAAATACTTACCTTTTAAACAAATGAGAGTTGAGTGCTTATATACATGAGGGTCTACATGTTTGGTTTATTCCATCTTCATATGAAAATGCTAGCTAATTAATTATGAGTTGTGTGAGAATGTTTATTTATGACGTGTTGTGTGTTTTAACGAGTTTGATTGGTCTATGTTCATGACATTATGACCTGGGTGTTTTTGAGAAATAAAATTTGAGTTTTGCCCGAGCACGAGCAAAAGCGAAGTGTGGGGGAATTTGATATGAATGTAAAATACATATTTTTCCCTACTTATTTTATGTACTCGTATGATTAATCAATGTCAAAATATACTCATTACGTTCATATTTTGATTTAAGTGGCAATTCTATAGATGTGGTATAATTTGGAAGAAATAAGCGAACAAGGGCCAAAGGAAAGAAAACGAAGTTTGGATACTGAAATGCAAATACTCAAAAATTATGTGGAACCTTATGATGAAGATTTGAGAGTTTTAGGAGTTAATTGGATGAAAGAAGATATCAAATGGATGAAATATTGTCAAAGTATGATCACACCAATTTTCAATCGAAAAAGTTATACATCGGTTTTTAGTCTCATATTGAGACCCATTTTTAACATGGTAAATGATCAAATTGGAAGATAATATCTGAAACAAAGTAGCTCTTTGAGTTTTCTTTCTAACGCATCTTAAATCACCTCAATCAGATATCACGAGAGAAAAATATGATCAAAATACTAAAAACTGTCCAGTGAAAATTATTTAAAACCATGCGGTCGCATGACTTTAATTCCATGCGGCCGAAAGAGGTGTTTCAGTGAACTTCAAGGTCCATTTTCAATGTACTATGCAACCACATGACTTACTACCATGCGTCAGCATAGTTCATTCCTGACACAAAAATTCTGATTTTCGAATTTAAGTCAACTACCTATGGATACAACTACAAATACATATTTTAAAACCCTAGAAAAAGGGAGGAACGTACAAAACGCCTCCAAACTTCATTCTTCATTATTTTGCTCATAGATTCATGAATTATAACTAAACTTTTACACTTGGTCGAAGGAGATTGAAGCCTCGGAACCACATATTGTGAGATCTAAATGATTTTTCTTAGTTTAATTCATGTTTTTTAGTATTGAATATTCTTCTACGCTTAT